GTTTTTGCCCGGACACTGCCTTTAAGTTGGGATCGTTCCCTTGTTAAGTCAACGATTAGCACCCAATCAGTAATGCAATATCATGCTAGAAAAATTATTTCAAGCAAATTCTGCAACTCTGAGCAGTTGCCGTATACATACTGTAGGCTCATGTAACTTTTCTACGGTATGTATGCGGAAAGCCGCGAAAACCGCAAAACTTTGAAGAGCTCGTTCCAAAAAAAAAATGCAAGACGATATCTAGCTTAACCAAATCATACCAGATGCGCATCGTATCCTCGACTCTTCACAACGATCCTTTCAGCAAATCCACGAGGAGATACTGGAGGAAATGTCGCGTTGAAGATAGGGTCTCGTACAGAAAATGCCATTCCTAAACCATTATTTTCAATATCAATCTGATGTTCACCGAAAAAAAAACTCACGTTGAGAATCAGGGGAAAATATCAGCTGCTGATTGAATTTTGTGCAGATATCGCTGACAACTTGCTCATTATTGAACGGTAGATTTACCTAAACCATCAGTAGTAAAAAGAGAAAGTATGCAGAGCAGTTACTACCTTGCATCGTTCCGATGCTATGCGAAGCAATTCGGAAACACATTGATCAGTCAATTTATTTATGTTGAAGTACCACGACGTAGAACCGGTTCCTTAACAACTTTACATAGGAAAAATTACACGACTGCTAGAGAAAAAACTTGCAAGGAAGTCGTCTGAAATGAATGAAAACGAACACGTACCTGTACAAATAGCAATTCCACTGCTTTTCTGTCTAACCATCGCACTTTTGTCGATTTTTATCTCGTAATATGACACTCGCGAAGACAAGCTCTCTCCTATGTATACTTCATTGAGAGCTAACACAGGCAGCTGTACCGTCACCTTTTCCTCGGACTGGCGAGAGCCATTCCTAGAAATTGGATGAATTTGGAATAGCTATAATGTAATGCATAGATAGTACACTTATCAGCAAATTCGAGAATATACAAGAAGGAAATCATCATGGCAATGTAATGTGATCCCTATCTCAGACAATCACCGGAAATTCCGCAAGACAAGGAATTTGCAGAAGTTCCGCAGGACTACTACTGCAAAAATGAAAACTTTGAACATAGGAACATCCGCAGGGTGGTTTTCATGCCCAACTGGTTAGAAACGAGAACTTCCGCAGAACTTCTTACAAAACCCTGCGAAAATTCCGAAAAATGCCAGTGGTTCCTCAGCTCTTTGGCCTGCCAGTACTTCCGCAAAACTCTGAATGTGCCCTCTATCATATGTTGCCTCGCCAACAACCGGAATGCTTTCTTACACATGTCATCCGCAGTGCAGAGGATAGCGAATGAGCCTCACAGTCAATGAAGTAAGGTTTAATCTCACCCAGGTGTCCCCTTTTGCTGTTGTGGTTCGCATTTTTCGGAACTTCCGC